CGCCCCTGTCTCTACTAAAAATACAAAAATTGCCTGGGTGTGGTTGGCATGGGCCTCTAGTCCACCCACTACTGGGAGCGCTAAGGCAGAGAATCAACTGAACCCAGACGCGAAGTTGCAGTGAGCGCGCAGGAGATCACACCACCTGCATTCCAGCCTGGGAACAGGAGCGAGACCTTCTCATAAACAAAACAGATGAATACAAAAGCAACAAAAGCCAACAAAACAAACCAAAGGGGAAAAGAAATGGGTATGGTTGAAGGAGAAAATCTGCAGTCCTATGGTTCACTGCAAAAACATAATCAACCAATAGCCCAAGATAGGAAAAGAAACCTAGAGCCTCAAAAAGATTGAATGAGCCCGGAGGCGCCGTGTGGCTCAGCGCCTGTAATCCCAGCACACTTTGGAGCCGAGGCGGGCAGCATCACGATGAGGCAGGAGTTTGAGACCAGGCGCCCTGGACAACATGGAGGAAACCCCGTCTCTTACTAAAAATAATACAAAATTAGCCGGGCTGTGGTAGCACGATGCCTGTAACCCCAGACCTTACTCAGGAGGGCTTGGAGGCAGGAGAAATTGCTTGACCTGGGAGGTTGTTGGTGAGGCTGAGATCACGCCACTGCCACTCCAGCTGAAGCAGGCAAGAGCAAAACGTCCATTTCAAAAAAAAAAAAAAAAAAAAAAAAGTTGAAATGAATAGGAAGTATTGTAGGCCAGGTGCAGGTGACCTAGGAATCAAGCACTCTGCGGAGGCTGAGGAAGGGAGTAATTGCTTGAGCTACAGACGTTTGAGCACCAGCAAGGCAAACATAGCGAGACCCTGTCTCTACAAATACAGAAAATTAGCCAGGTGTGCTGCTGCACGCCTGTTAGTTCCCAGCTACTAAGGAAGCTGAAGAGGGAAGGAATTGCTTGAGGCCAAGGGAGGTTTGAGGCTGCAGTGAGCCATGATGCATGGCCCTGTGTTACTCCAGCCTTGGGCAAAGAGAACAAGACCCTGCTCAGAAAATGAACAAGAAAAAAACCACAAACAGGCTGGGCGCGGTGGCTCATCGCCTCAATCCCAGCACTCGGGGGGGCTGAGGCAGTGGATCACAGAGGTCAGGAGTCGAGACCATTCCTGGCTAAACACAGTGAAACCCCCGTCTCTACTAACAAATAACAAAAATTAGCAGGGGGGTGTGGCAAGCGCCTGTAGTTCCCAGTCACTCGGGAGGCTGAGCCCAGGACGAATGGCGTGAACCCGGGAGGATGGAGCTTGCAGCTGAAGCTGAGATCCGCCCACTGCACTCCCTCTGCGGCGACACGAGATAGATCTGTCTGTCACCCGGCTAATTTTGTATTTTTAGTAGAGACGGGGTTTCTCCATGTTGGTCAGGCTGGTCTCAAACTCCTGACCTCAGGTGATCTGCCCGCCTCGGCCTCCCAAAGTGCTGGGATTACAGGCGTGAGCCACCGGGCCTGGCTCATTCATCTTTTGAGAGACTCTTAGGTTATTTTCCTATCTTGGCTATTGTTGATTATGTTGCAGTGAACATAGGACTGCAGATTTCTCTTCAACATACCCATTTCTTTTCCTTTGGGTTTGTTGTTGTTGGCTTTTTGTTTGTTTGTTATTATTGTTTTGTTATGAGACAGTCTCGCTCTGTTGCCCAGGCTGGAATGCAGTGGTGTGATCTCTGCTCACTGCAACTGTCGCGTCCTGGGTTCAGTTGATTCTCCTGCCTTAGCCTCCCAAGTAGTGGGGACTAGAGGCGCATGCCACCACACCCAGCTTATTTTTGTATTTTTAGTAGAGACAGGGTTGGCCAGGCTGGTCTCAAACTCCCGACCTCAAGTGATCCGCCTGCCTCAGCCTCCCAAAGTGCTGGAATTACAGGCGTGAGCCACCACGCCTGGCCCAATTTCCTTTCCTTTGGATATATATACCCAGTAGTGGGATTGCTAGGTCATATAATAGTTCAGTCTTTAATTTTTTGAGGTGACCGGGCACAGTGGCTCATGCCTGTAATCCCAGCATTTTGGGAGGTCAAGGTGGGCAGATCACCTGAGGTTGGGAGTCCGAGACCAGCCTGACCAACATGGAGAAACCCCATCTCTACTAAAAATACAAAATTAGCCAGGTGTGGTGGTGCATGCTTGTAATGCCAACTACTTGGCAGGCTGGGGCAGGAGAATTGCTTGAACCCGGGAGGCGGAGGTTGCAGTGAGCCGAGATCACGCCATTGCACTCCAACCTAGGCAACAAGAGCGAACCTCCATCTCAAAAAAAAAAAAAAATTTTTTTTTGAGAAATGTCCACACTATTTTCTATGATGGCTTTACTCATTTACATTCCCACCAACAGTGTACGGGGTTCCCTTTTCTTCATACCGTTGCCTACTTGTTATCTCTTATCTTTTTGATAACAGCCATCCAAACAGGTCTAAGGGGATATTTCATTATGGTTTGTGTGTGTGTGTGTATGTGTGTGTGAGACAGTCTTGCTATGTCACCCAGGCTGTGGCATGATCTCAGCTCATTGCAACCTCTGCCTCCAGGGTTCAAGTGATTCTCGTGCCTCAGCCTCCTGAATAGCTGGGATTACAGGCACGCACCACCACACTCGGCTAATTTTTGTGTTTTTAGTAGAGACAGGGTTTTGCCATGTTGGTCAGGCTGGTCTCGAACTCCTGGCCTCAAGTATCCGCCCACCTCAGCCTCCCAAAGTGTTAGGATGGCAGGCGTGAGCCGCTGCGCCTGGCCTCATGATTTTGATTTCTATTCCTCTGATGACTAAAGAGGTTGAGCACTTTTACTGATACCTGTTGGCCATCTGTATGTCTTCTTTGGATAAATATCTATTCCAGTCCTTTGCCCGTTTTTAAAATGGATTGTTTGGTATTTTGCTAATGAGTTTCTTATATATTTTGGATATTAACCCCTTATCAACTGCATGGTTTAGAAATATTTTCTCCTCTTCCATAGGTTGCCTTTTCATTTTGTTGATTGTTCCTTTGCTGTGTAGATTTTTTATTTGATGTCCCACTTGATGATTTTTTTATTTTGCTGCTTGTACTTTCCAAAAAATCATCCAAGACCAGTGTCAAGGAGCTTTTTTCCCTGTTTTCTTCTAGAAGTTTTATGGTTTCTGGTTTTACATTTAAGTATTTAATCTATTTCAAGTTAATTTTGTATAAGATAAGGGTTTAATTTCATTCTCTTGCATGTGGATATCCAGATTTTCCAACACCATGTATTTAAAACACTAGCCTTTCCCTATTGTGTGTTCTTGGCCCCTTGTCAAAGATTAGTTGCCCTTTGATCCGTTTTGAAATACTATTTGTTTAAAAAAAAAAAAGAGGAGGTAGCAATTCCCCAATATTCTTTTCTTACTCAGTTTGTCCTTTAACTGACTCGTCAAGTCTTTGGACATTTTTGTTGTTGTTACTTGTTTGTTTGAAATAATATCAGCCTAAATTTGACATTCACAGTGAGTATCAGTAAGGGTCATGGTTTTTGTAAGCCTTGTGCTTTCTTATTTTTTTCAAACTAATTTCAGACTTAAATAGAAGTTAGAAGAATAGTACAGGGAGTCTCATGTACCCTTCACCCAAATTCCTCAAGTGTTAACATTTTACCACATTTATAATTTTTTCTGAAACACTTGAGGGTAAGTTTCAGGTAGATGCCCCTTTACTTCTAAATATTTCAGTGTGTATTTTCCAAAAAACAGGGATATGCCCTTATATAATCATAGTTTTATTACCAAAATCAGGAAATTTAATAATTATGTCTCATCTAACTATAGATCTTATTATTATTTCACTATTCTTCTAATCTCTTTAGAGCAAAATGGGGAAAAAATGGCTTTTCTGTTCCGGTGCAAGATGCAGTCCAGGCTCACGTGTTACAGTGAATTATCACATCTTTAACGTTCTTGTTTTTTTTGTTTTTTTTTTTTTTTTTTTTGAGACGGAGTCCGCTCTGCGGCCCAGGCGAGTGCAGTGGCCGATCTTCACTCAGCAAGCTCCGCTCCCGGGTCACGGAACCCATTCTCCGATGCCCATCACCTCCTGAGTGCCTGGGACTACAGGCCGCCGCGCACCGCGCCGGGCTAGTTTTTTGTAATTTTTTTAGTAGAGACGGGGTTCACCGTGTTACCAGGGATGGTCTCGATCTCCTGACCGCTCAGTGATTCCGCACCCGTCTCGGCCTCCAAAGGCTGGGATTACAGGCTGGCCACCGCGCCCGGCCGTTTACGTTCTTTAATCTGAAATATTATCACATCTTCAACGTTCTTTAATCTGAAATATTATCACATCTTTAACGTTCTTGAATCTGAAATATTATCACATCTTTAACGTTCTTGAATCTGAAATATTATCACATCTTCAACGTTCTTTAATCTGAAATATTATCACATCTTCAACGTTCTTTAATCTGAAATATTATCACATCTTTAACGTTCTTTAATCTGAAATATTATCACATCTTTAACGTTCTTTAATCTGAAATATTATCACATCTTTAACGTTCTTTAATCTGAAAGAGTTCCCAAGTCTTGTCATTCATGACCTTGACTGACGTTTTTTAAGAGTAAAAACTAGGGGGGTTTTTTTGTTGTTTTTTCTGTTTCGTTTGTTTTGTTTTGTTTTTTGAGCCAGGGTCTCACTCTGTCGCCCAGGCTGGAGTGCAGTGGTGCAATCTCAGTTCACTGGAGCCTCCACCTCCCAGGCTCAAGTGATCCTCCTGCCTCAGCCTCCCAAGGATCTGGGACTACAGGCTGCAGCCAACATGCCCAGCTAATTTTTGTATTTTTTGTAGAGACAGGATTTCGCCGTGTTGCCCAGGCTGGTCTGTAACTCCTCCGATCCGCCCACCTTCACCTTGACCTCCCGTAGTGGTGGGATTACAGGCGTGAGCCACTGCACCTGGCCAGAGACCCATTCTTTTATAAAATGTCCCTCCCTCAATTTGGATTTATCTGACGTTTTCTCATAATTAGATTTAGGTTATGCATTTGGGGCAGGAATATGCATTTGGGGCAGGAATAGCAGTGAAGTAATGATGTGTCCTCTGTGTGTCATACAAGGAGGTTTGCAGTCTGCTTGTGCCGTTACTTGTGATGCTAATTTTAATCACATGGTTAAGGTGTCTGCAGCCTTATGCTCTCCCAGTTTCTTCCCAAAGAGTATCTTGGTTTACTAACCATGCCATTCATGAATTTACAAAGTAAGCAAAATGTGTATTTCCCAAGTCAATTCCTGACCCTTTTCTCCTAAAATAAATCCTTGCGTGCTGTTGTCAACCTAAACTATGAAATGCTCTGGGATTCTGTCCTGTGCTGTTGGAGTGCATCAAGATGCCAAACCCACAAACCAAGTATTTTGTCAATTGAACTGAGTCTTCAGGGACACTGAGGCATGTCTGTATTTAGCTCAAAAGGTAGAAGTCTCACAAAACTGATACTAGCGAATATTATGTTACTTAAAATTCTTGTTTACTCAGGGATTGCTAGCTACGTATAAGCCCTTCTTACCTATATATAACTTCTTTCTTCTATGCACATAATCTCGGGTACCAAATAGACAGTATTATTTAAAATCTCCCTTCGACATTTTATGCTCAGTTTTTCAGACCATGGAAATCTACACCTATGATGCTCTTCCAAGATCACTGGGGATTTTTTTGTAGTTTAATAAGTGACTTATTTAATTTGCAATTCTGAATTATTTCATTTATATGTAAACTTCTTTTGTGAGAAACAGGGTTTCACTTTGTCACCCAGGCAAATGGTATGATCCAATGGTACGATCATAGCTCACTGCAAATGTGAACTCTGGGCTCGAGAAATCATCCTGCTGTCAGCCTCCCGCGTAGCCAGGACCACAGGCACACACCACCGTGCCCGGCTAATTTTTTTTTTTTTTTTTTGGACACAGTGTCTCACTATGTTCCCCAGGCTGATCTCAAACTCCTAGCCTCAAGCAACCCTCCACTTCAGCCTCCCAAAGTGCTGGGATTGCAGGCATGAGCCACCATGCCCAGCCATAAACATTTTCTTTCCTCTTAAAAAGTGACTCATGCTTAGTGCTGTCTAGCGATACTTTGTTTTTGTTTGTTTGCTTGCTTGCTTTATTAACTGACCCTCATCCCTCACAGACCTCAGGGGCTTCAGCTATTTCCAAAGAATTACTTATTAGTAATTGTTACTCTTTTTTTCACACATTATTTCAGGCAGCAAATAAACATTGATTGTTAAGTCTCTAAACACTAACAAGCTGGCTTAGATAATTCACCTACTCTACAGTAACTGACGTGCCAGCTTAACTGAAACAAGTAGCATCAATCTGTAGCCAGCTCTTTTCTGCCACGATCCTACCCCAAAAAAATAAAACAAAACATTATCCTGCATCATCCTGTCTGTGGGATTGTAGCCAGTTTCCTTTGTCCTACATGGTGATGGAGAAATCAGGACAGTTAAGAAAATAATTTGTTTTAAAATAATAAAGCTAATATATGCTCAGATGGTAAAAGAACAAAAGATCACCAAATCTTACTTTTTGATCCATTTTTAAGATAAAAATTTTATACTGTACAAGTAGGAAAATTAATGAAGTGTGAGCCGTTTTTTCTAAGTGAACAGTGTGTAAACGGTGATTCTTCCTGGATGAGTAACTTTCTCAAAGATATTAGTTTCTGCTATTTCACCAATAATTGTAATGACAAAATAGACAATTAATGGAGATTTCTGATTTTGTTTCTATCATTACAGCTATTGTACAGGGAGATACGCTGGAAGACATTTACAACCAAGTGAAACAGATCATAGAAGAACAGTCTGGTTCTTACATCTGGGTTCCAGCAAAAGAAAAGTTATGAAAACTCATGTTTCTCTATTTCTCTTTTCCACAATTCCATTTTCTTTGACATCTCTTTGCCCTTTCCTCTGGAGTCTTTTTTCAATAATGATTTCATGTTGAATTATATCCCACATCATGGTCTGCAGGTGCGCTTATTTTTTTACATGTAGTGTCTCCTTCAAGTTACATCATGTGTATTATTTAATGTCACTATTGGTTAGTGGCCATTTTTCACAACTGAAGATGGAATGGCCTGACCAGCTATTAAGAATTTGGGGAGACGCAGAAATTGTGGTAAAATTCCTTAATGTTTAAGGGAAAGTAACTTTAAGAGATTTTTGGAAAAGCTTTATATACATTCTTTTCAAATTTCAGTACAAATGAAAAAGTGGTTTTAATCAGTGATTTAGTAGACTTTGAGCAACTATGCACGCTTAAGTTTAATAGCATGGTTTGGCCAGTGTGTTACTCTCAAGTCCTGTTCTCAGTCAGCTTCTATCATCAAAGCAATTGTTTCATTATAGATAAATAAGGAAGACATGTTTTAATTTAAAAATTCATGTCTGAGTTAACTTTCATAAGGGATTTCATTTTTCCTAAGTATTCTTAAAGTCTTTTATTATTTGAAGGTTCTTTTTTCCCAGTACATTTGCTAGGAATAACAACGTTTAAATGTTTTTAATCTACTTGAGCAACACTATCGTGTCTTACAAAAGTTGTTCATATGTAAATGATCATCACATTCTGTGAATCAAGGCCATGTTCAGGTGCTAAGGAAGTTCGCCTTTTACACAGAAGGCTGAGAAAATTTCCTAGATATAAATACAGATAAATCAGACATTACAGTGTGATGTAGAAACCATAATGGCAATGGAAAGGAGTCCAGTTCATAGCCTAAAACTTAAAAATGTATTCTTAGGAGTCAGATTTTACTGAATATTTTACCCACAATAGCTGCCTATTTTGTTATAATAAAATATATATAAATATATATATAAAACTTTCTTTAAACTCTGTAACTATGGGAATTATTTTCTTTACATAGTTGCGCACACACACAAACATATATATATATATATTTAAAATATATTTTGTTTCTTTTGCCACCTACTCCTAACTTTTTGTTTGGTTTTTAAATTAAATATTAATTGAATAGACTTATCTTCCTTAATCCTGTGAACTGAAAATGGGGGCATGGTGATCATGAGGAGAAACATTTAGGGAAATTAGATTATAAGTAAAAGTATGGGCGTATTCTCCTCTTTTCTACAAAGTTTTCAAATGGTTCCTGGGGTTTTGTTGTTGTTCTTGTTGTTGTTATTGTTGTTCTTGTCATCAGGTTTGATTTTGGTCCTTGCCCTTTCCTTCTAGTTCTCCTTTTATTAATAGGAAGGCAGGCAAAAGCCCCATTTATGTGTGTGTTTCCCTCAGGCAGCTTTCGTCCACTGCTCTGCACTAGAATTGCACAAATCTTCATGGTGAGCAATTTTAAGAAATTTTAGTGAAAGGTAGAAATTATTTCAGAAATCAGTTTCTCTGGTCCTTTATATTAATAATAATATTTGGCTTCCCATTGCTCTTTGGAGTTGTTTATTAAATATGTGTTTTTGACAACCTCCTCATTACAGTTTCTTAAAGAAATGAGTACTGGTTTGTAAAGAATTATCAACATTATCCATTCCATTTATGAAGAAGAGGAGAACAGCTAATAAACTGTATTGTAAAATCCATATGTTAAATGTGTCTTGAATTTTGAAAGAAAAAAATATTTTGCAAGCTAACATTTTCTTGAAACAATTTGAGGCATCATGTAATTTATAACTGAATTCAAGAGCCATTAGGCAACAGAGTATGTTAACACATTGAAATACACACAGTATTGCTGTTACACTAAATATTGTAGGTTGTTAACAAAATAGAAATATACTAGAAGAAAACTATTGTAAAATCTCAAGAGCTTCAGAAATTGCCTTACAAGACCCCAGCATAAGCTGTTTTGAAGTATTTACCAAATAGTCACATGTTGTAAAATATCAAGTGGGTTATAAAAGGATGCCATTTATGTATTAAAATCTACATAACATTGTTTTCTGGATGTCCTTGTTAAGTGATTTTTTTGTAAGAATATATGATTGTGCAGCTTTCTAGCTTGTACAGGATTATCAATAATGGGATTACTAATTGCTGAGTATTATGCAATAGCCACTTTAGTATCATACCTCTTTTTTGTTTTTGTTTTTGTTTTTTTGTGGGGTTTTTTTGTTTGTTTGTTTGTTTGTTTTTGAGACGAAGTCTTGCTCTGTCACCCAAGCTGGAGTGCACTGGCTTGATCTTGGCTCACTGCAACCTCTGGCACCCGAGTTTAAGCGATTCTCCTGCCTCAGCCTCCGAACTAGCTGGGATTACAGGCGCCCACCACCACACCCGGCTAATTTTTGTATATTTAGTAGAGACGGGGTTTCAGCATCTTGATCAGGCTGGTCTTGAACTCCTGACCTAGTGATCCACCCCCTCGGCCTCCCAAAGTGCTTACAGGCATGAGCCACTGCACCCGGCCCATACCTCTTAATTTAAAAAAAAAAAAAGAGAAGGTGGTGTTACTCGCCCCACTATAAGGTTTACATTAAATCACTTGCCCAAGATGACTTAGCTAGTAAGTGGCAGTGCTTAGTATTTGGATCCAAGCCTCTCTGCCCCAAGTCTACATTCTTTCCAATATACTTGGCTGCCTCATTTTTCGCCCCGTACTGTGTAAAGAACTGTAACTTAAATTATTAGTTTAGCAGTCCTTTACAAATAAGGAAAGACTCTTAGATGAAAATCCTTGCCCAAAGTCATACAAGTAGTAAGGACAGACCCATAGAACAAGTCACTCCCGTCAAAGCTGAAAAGACTGTTTGTGGGAAACAAGTCAGCCTCGCCCCGCCACGGTGACATGCCAAGAAATAATCCTTTAAAACCAGAATTGAAACAATGTTTGTAAGAAAAGAGTCCATTATTGTAATGCACAGAGAATAATACAGTTTCAAATGTTTTGAAAGGCTTTTTTAATATGCCTCTTCATATCCTTAAGTTGGCAAAAAGAAAAGTGCCTCTTGGATTTGGCTGTAGCTATCTGGTTGCCTTCCTGTTCTGTGACTACCTGGGGCTCTTCAATAAATAATGGAAGCAAGCAGGCCGGGCGCGGCGGCTCACACCTGTAATCCCAGCACTTTGGGAGGCCGAGGCAGACGTGTCACCTGAGGTCGGGAGTTCGAGACCAGCCTGACCAACATGGAGAAACCCTGTCTCTACTAAAAATAAAAAATTAGCCAGGCGTGGTGACGCATGCCTGTAATTCCAGCTACTCGGGAGGCTGAGGCCGGAGAATCGCTTGAACCCGGGAGGCAGAGGTTGCAGTGAGCCGAGATCGCACCATTGCATTCCAGCCTGGGCAACAAGAGAAACTCCATCTCAAAAACAAATAACAATAATGGAAGCAAGCCTGCAGAGCTCATTCCAGCAAAATACACTCTGGTTAACAAATACTTGCTAAACACTATAGTATTTAAACTCCAAAGATGGCAATTAAGGAATTTTAGTAATTAGTAAAAATTGTTTTCTAACGTATTAGAGCAGTTACCTTCTACGATTCTCTGCCTTGAATACTCTTAATTTACATGTGATAAAATAGAAGCCTAAAGATCCCTATGTCTTAACAAAGTTACACTGCAAATCAGGGACAGAGCCAGAATTAGAACTTTTAACTCCTGACTCCTAGAAAATAGTTTTCCTGCCATACAAATTCCTTTTCCTCCCATTCTAAGAGCTGGATTTTGTGGTTTATTCAATCCCTGAAGGTTTGAATTTCTGCTGTTAAATATTGGTACATTTATGATATTACAATGAAGAAGTTGCGTTTTAAAGATATCAAGGAAAAACATAGGTGTCACTTTCCCGACCCTAGTGTAGAGCATTTGGTAGTTAAGTCTAATATTTAAGATTCCATTTGTCTCCCTCCAGAATTGCACAGTATACCTCTCACTGACTTTGGCAGCAGTGCCCTCTGATGTGAAGAATGTGGGCTGTGGAATCAGCTTGATTTGAATGCCACTCTGCCACTTATGTAACTTTGGGCAAGTCACATAATCCCTCTTACTGTTTACTTATCTGTAAAATGGAGATCTATTGAGGATCAGTAAGATTACAGATAAAGGGAACTAGCACATAGAACACTCTAAAAGCTAATTCCCTTTTCCTTTGGAATCAGAGGCTTAGAATTCTTCCAGCTTCTCTTGTGGAGATTAACCTGACCCTTAATTTTGCCGTGTTTTAAATGGGATTTGAATGACTACCTTGCAGGATTGTTATAAGGGCTATGTAGGTTGTTAACAAAATAGAAATATACTAGAAGAAAACTATTGTAAAATCTCAAGAACTTCAGAAATTGCCTTACAAGACCCCAGCATAAGCTGTTTTGAAGTATTTACCAAATAGTCACATGTTGTAAAATATCAAGTGGGTTATAAAAGGGCATGGTGGCAGGCGCCTGTAGTACCAGCTACTCAGGAGGCTGAGGCAAGAGAATGGCATGAACACGGGAGGCGGAGCTTGCAATGAGCCCAGATCATGCCACTGCACTCCAGCCTGGGCGAGACTGCATTCACTGCTGGAAGGACTTTGGGGCTTGTATGTATATCATCTGATACTTCACACTTCTGTTCTTCCCCATACGAAGGGTTGTAGTTATGGTGGGTGGCAGACCCACAACATTAGTTGTGGAGAGTCTCAAAACAGGCCTGAAATAATAGTGTGAAAAGTATTACTTAAATCACCCGGATAAAATATTTTGTCTTTAATTTGACTAGAAATAGTCACTACTTAACTAACTTTCCACCACTGGCCCTTTCTCCACTTCACCCAAATAGGGTTACCTGAGAGCTGGCAGAACAGGAAATCCTAGTCTACTAAACAGTGTGATGAACAGAAATGGTGATCAGGTAGCTTTTTTATTGAAGTATAACATATCTATGTAAATGTATAGATACACATAAGTGTAATACCTTAACACGTCTTTACGGATAGGCCGGGCGCGGTGGCTCACGCCTGTAATCCCAGCACTTTGGGAGGCCGAGGCAGGCGGATCACGAGGTCAGGAGATCGAGACCATCCTGGCTAACACGGTGGAACCCCGTCTCTACTAAAAAATACAAAAAAAAAGTAACCAGGCATGATGGCGGGCACCTGTAGTCCGTCTCAAAAAAATTAACTAATTAAATAAAATAAAAAAGTACTTCTTTACAGAGAAACATCACCTGTGTAACAATCACGAAGCTCGGTATATAGAGCATGACCGGCCCCCCCAGGTGACCTCAGCTTCCGCCTGGTCTCCCACCGCGGGCAGGGGAAGCTGCTGTCTTCTATCTTTATTTTTTAATTTGTGTACAGTAAAGTTCACTTTTTTGGGTGTATCTAGGTTTTGACGCATGCATAGAGTCGTGTAACCACCACCAAAATCAAGAATACGAAACAGTTCACTGTCCCAAAGAAATTCTCGGATGCTTTTCCCTGTGTAGTCCAGACCTCGCAGCCCCAATCTGTGACAACCGCCAATCTGTTTCCAGTGCCTACAGTTCTGCCTTTCCCAGAATGTCATGTGGAGTATAGTGTAGCATTTGGGGTGTGGCTTAGCAAAACGCATTGGAGAGGAATGCATGGGTTTCGTTGCCGAGCAGTGTTCCGTTGTGTGGATGCACCACAGGCTGCATTCACTGCTGGAAGGACTTTGGGGCTATTTTCATTTTTTCCCATGATAGTTGTGTATTTCTTTGCCACCCTAGACCTACAGGAACAAGAGGCAGCAAGCGGAAAAGGGTTTCTGATGCTGAAAGCCATGAAGGGCCCAGCCCCACCCCCACCCCCACTTCATCAGTACTGTGAGGACCCACGTGCTTAGCCGGTTGCATAGGAGCCTGTCACCCTGAAACAAATTTTAAAGGCAGAATGATGGATCCCAAGAGCCTGTTTACAGAAGAAGTTTGTGTCTAAAGCAGGAATGACTGCGAGAATGAGCACATCAGAATTTCAGGCCCTCAGGAAAAAACACTAATGATCCAAAAGCCCGGTGTGCCAGTGACTGGTGCCTGACTCATTACTGATGCCCTCGGTGAAGTAAGTGTAGTCTATCTAGGACAGCAGTGAGTGAGAAGAGAGCAAACTGCAGACGGCCGTTGCTGAAGATGGGATTGGCTCATAGCCGTGTAATTCAGAAAACAGTCCATGCAGACAAAACCCTGATCTGTTCAGAAAATTGGGTTTGTTGGATTCCAGACAAAGGATTGTCGTTTTTCCAAATTACTGTTTTCTTTAGGTGGTAACCTCTACGCATTTTAAATATTACTTATGCAATTTCTAGTAATCTAACTCTAGTGCAGTGCACTTAAGCAGTCCTTGATGAGACCTGGTTCCACCAATGGCTGTGACGCTCAGCCTTTTCCTGCGTGCAGGTAGCACACGTGGCCTTGACAATCCCTTCATTTTAACCACAGTATGGCTGCTCACTTGTGTGAAAAAAACACCGTAGGTCCCTCCTTTCATTTGGTTCCAGATTAATCCTTAGGAAATACCGGTGTTTACCGAAAGTAGAAAGAAACTACTTGTGTTGCGCATATATCCTACTTCTGCCAGTCAACTGTTAATGACCAATTTCATTTGGACAGTTTATAACTCCAGTAGAGTGATTTTTTTTTAA